GCCTTTCCTTAGTTCTCTTAATGCTAGTACTTTCCCAGTACTGACTCTCTCCCATTTATCCAGTCTCTAGCTTGTTGGTACATAGTTGTTTACACGTGGCATCCTCCAATAGGCTGTGAGATCCTTGAGAGCTGGGGCTGTCTTTTGTCTTTCTTTGTTATCCCCAGTACTTAGCACAGTGCCTGGCACATAGTGGGCACTTAATAAATACTGATTGACAGAATGACCGACAAGATGCATTATCACTGAAAGCATAATTAGGAAACTTTCCAAAAGGAATATTTCCATAAACAGAGTTGTATAGAGTTGTATTCAGGCAGGTGCCTTAATGTGCTCATAAATTATTTTATGAAAATTGAAGCTATGGAGCATATAACTTGCTTTTATTAATGATGTATGTCATGGGAAACAAATAATACTAAGGAACTAAACAGGGACAGAAATATAAATGAAGTCACCAGTAAAATCCATCATCAAGGGATTCAATGGCCCACATAACGGGCCTCATCTGCATTACAACTAAAGAAACCAGTTATGATCTCCTCCTATCCTTTCTTGACCTCTCTAAATTCTCAGGATCCTCTCAATCAATGCTCCAAACTTCTCTTTTTTTTCTTTGTAAAATTCCTTCTTACAAAATATCACATTCACACACACACACACACACGCACACACACACACCCCACACATACACAGCTCAATGGGGGAAGGGGGGAGAAAAGGGAAAATGGCATTTTACTGAAAAATAGCAAAATGAAAAACCTTTAAGTGTATACATATAAATATTAGCTATCATCTGGCCTTAACAAAAGTGTTATGTTACAGGTACACCTTCTGAGTTCAATTTATCCTGTTAGCCTATTTTTGATTTAAATGGGTTCAAAATTAATCTTTCTGGGACTTAATTTTCTCATCTAAAAAATGGAGATAAAATCTGTACCATTCTTCTAGAAAAGCTGTTGTGAGGATCAAATGAGATATTGCATATAAAGCACTTTGCAAACCTTATAGTATTATGTTGTCAGTTATCCTTATACACAAGTGCCTAGCTCAGTACCATTCACCCAGGAGGTTCACTTATCTTATGATAAGAATAGTAATGATAGGTTGGAAGCCCCCTGGAGATGTACCCAATTTGTAAAAGGTCTTTGCTGAAAGTTCAATAGCTTGAAATTGGGAATATAACACAAAGCCACAAAAACTACAGGTATGATTTAGAGATGTTTATGTATCAAAAGGTAGAAATAAGGCAGTCTCTTTAACTCTGCTGGAACCTCAAATACTGATACAGTTCATAGCATCTTATTACCAGAGAAACATAAATCAGAAAGGGTTTGGCTAAGAGCAATAAACTCTATTAGTGTCTGGAGGGACTGACTTTAAAGAAAGTTTTCAAAGAACTGGATCCAGGTAGCTTGAATAAAAAACAGCTATAGGAGAGTATTATTTTTAAAAGCTAAGACACAGACAGCAGATGATAGGGTAGGAACCCAGAAAAGACAAAGAGAACTAGGTAGCTGGTGGGCAGCTAGAAAAAAGGAAAGCTGAACCTCAAGAAAAATTTGCTGGCAATAACCTTTGGGACAGGAGAACTGTCTTCCTCAGGAAGAATGGTAAAAATCCCATTTCTGGAGACATTTAAATACCAGACTGGACAAAGCAATAGAGACTATCCCAGATTAAATGCTACGTCGGCACCAGCCCCTGAAGAGGTGAGTGGACTGAAGATGACCTCTCAAATCTTTTCCATCTCTGATTTTTTTGATTCTATGAAGTTTTATAGGCCACGGCCTTCTGCCAATTTCCTCTCTCCCCAGGGTGCCCACTTTCTCCTTTTACAAAAGAGGCAAATTGCATCCTTCATTTTAAACAGATCTTATTGTTCTCAAAGAATCAGTAATTCTATCCCTGGGTAGAAGTTTGACAGAAGAAAGCCAATTCCTAAACTTATACCAGTCTTTTTTTTTTTTTTCATTCCCCCCCCCCCACCCTGGGATTCCTGGGACTCTTGCAAGTTTTACCATAAACAACAGGGAAAGCATGTTTAATGGAAAATGAACATGAAAGAGCTGTTTAATCAGCAAAATCACTAATATTCATCCCATCTCTAGTCTCCCATCACAATGCTGACAATAACAACATGAACTAATAGGCTTTAGGCTGTAGACCTTTCTGTCAAACCTCTCCAGGGCTGTTATTATATTGTAATTTATTTTTTTTCCTTGTGCATGTATAACAGAGAAATCTTTCTGCAGAATCCCTTCTTTTCTCCCACAACTGTAACATTCACCCTCGTAAAAGACTCAGACAAATAAATGCACTCCCCTACACAATTAACTCTAAAAATAAATGTAATGCACATGAGAAGGCCTTCAGCCAGTTTGGAAGCCTTGTTCAACATCAGAGAATCCATCTTAGAGAGAAAAAACAAACTGTAGAAGAAAAACAAAATTGTTTGGAGGCAGACGACCTGTCTCAGGATCCCAGTTCTTGGAAACAAAGTCAATACCCATCGATTGGGGAGTGGCTAAACAAAACGGGGCATCCAAACACAAAGGAACATTACAATGCTGCAAGAAACATGGCCCACGAAGAGCACAGAGAAGCATGGAATGACTTATACAAAGCGATGCAAAGTGAAGAAGCAGAACCAAGAAATCAGTAGAAACAATTGCAACAACAATGCACATGGAAAGAAGAGCAGTAAAATAACTAACGCTGAATGTTTTGAAATTACAATGACCAAGCTTGGTCTCAAAGAAGAGATTTTAAAAGATACCTCGTCACCCTCACTCAGCTGTCTTGCAGAAATGAAGTCGCCAGATGTGGAACATGGAATAGAAGTAACTGTCAGCCTTTTGGGATGTATTGATCAGCTCTGCTGAACTTGTTTTCTTCCTCCTTTTTTATTCTTTTTTATAAAGGATGGTTTTGTGGAAGAGGGAGAGGAAAATTTAGGTGGTTTAAAAACAAAGGACATCAAAAAAAAATCTGTTTTTTACAAAAATGAACACTTGGTCTACTATTTACTACTTGTATGACCTTGGATAAGTCCATTTTCTTTGGGCTTCTGCCTCTTCACATGGGAAATGATGAGGTTGGACCAGAAGCATTCTAAGATCCCTTCCAACTGTCTATCTATGATCCTGTTATCCCAAGGACATGTCAAAGGTTCCTTCACAAAGGCCATTTAGACTTCTCAGGCTAAACCTGTACCAACACTGGCTTCTCTCTACCTCCCCTAGATGTGTAGACATCCCTCAGGTGTAATCAAAGAGTGAAACATCTTTCCTGGAATCTCTTATTCAGTGCACACACTAGATAAGCAGAAGGAAAACGAAAAGGAAAGAAGAGCATAGATAAGAAAAGAAGCCCACACACTTCTTTCCCAGAAAAATCCTGGAAATTATGTGTAAGAAACACAGGGTGGGTAGCTTTGCAACCTTGGCTTTAAGTCCCTTAAAGACAAAAACTGCATTTTAACCCCTTAAAAAGGCAAGGAGAAGTGTCAACCCACAAGAGGACATCATCATAGACCGTCTCTGTCCTACAAACCTACCCTGAAAACAAATCAACTTGAACCCAAGGCACTAACTGAAAGAGATGTTAAGGGTCAGCCTGTCCCTCTAGTAAACATGAAAAGTTGTGAATTAGGACTAATAGAAATGTAGTCTACATGAAATAATGCTGTTTTAGTAGTTCTTTCACCAGCAGAAAGGATGCTTTTCAAACCCGGAAGCATTTTAAGATAATTCTCTAGACCTGAACAGACTGGCCAGAAAAGGAATAGTGGAAGGCATCACAGATAAGCCTAAAGGGTACAAAAAACACATCAAAAGAAAAACTAAATTTCTTTCTTCTAAGGCCCCAGGTCTGACACTTGAAGCAGATCTTTAGTCCTGAAAGATGCCGATTTTTTTCCCTGTACAGTTTTTTTCCTCCGGCCAACATGGGATGACGTTCCGGTGGCATTATCCAACACACCTGAAAGTATCTCCGGAAGCCACCCCAAGGCAGGAAAGGCCTGATACTATTCCCTTCCTCCAAAATTTCTCCAATACAGAGTGGGGCTACCGCTCAGCTTGGAAGGAGAGATATCAGAAGAGCTTTTCATTGCCCCACAAAAAAATCACGCAAACGTATCCAAAGGCAGGGGCCTTTCTTACCAGGGGCCAAGGGCTTTTTAGGGATTTTTGAAAAGGTCCCTAGGCCTGTCTGGCAGGCTTTCATCTCCTTTCCCGCTGCACCAGCGGGCCCGCTCCCTCGCACCCAGCATCAAGGTGAATCGAGTTTCTCACCATCCTCGTAGTTCTTGAGATAGTAATCAGGACCAGGGCCCCCGCGACTTTTCGCTGGGTTCCTCAGGTTTTGGAACTGGAGGAAATCTGTCCTCTTGCCCCCGAAACGCAGAAAGGCGGGCGACAATCCCCGGGCTAGGGTCACCAACCGCTTAGAGCTGAGAAGAGAAGAGAGAGGTAAGAGGAATGAGGGAATCGGTGAGTAAAAAGCAAGCCTGGGTCGCCAGGGGCAGAGTGCATCGCGCCCTCCAGTCCCTCTGGGGACATCGGGAGCCGAGGCCGGGGACCATTCAGAGTGGGAATTCCGCCTGCTCCTGCTCCCCACGCAGCGCCGGGCTCGGCTGCTTCGCTTCCTCCTTCCTGCAAGTCAGTCCCGCGTAACTTTGTCGGGACTTTGGCCAGACGGAGCGGGGCCGTCCAACATTACCGGCGCTAAAGCTGCCGAGCTCCCAGGGTTGCCAGTTCCCCTGGGGCTGTGACCTCAACTCTCAGGTACAGCGGAGGCACCTTTTAAATCGGGAATCTAAAAATACTGGTGGGTTGCATTGTCTTTCTTTTACTTGTTGTTTAAAGAAGGAACTTCGGCTGCTGCGGCGGACGTGAGGGGCAGTAGCGCCAGCGTAGGGGGGACTCCGCTCTGCGGCTGCCCAGCGCGCTTTCCGGACGCCCGGCTCCCGGCTGCGGACGCCCGGCTCCCGGCTGCAGAAGCCCGGCTCTCCTCTGCTTCCCGATCAGCTGCCGCCTAGTGAGGCTTTAGCAACAGGTAAACCTGCTCGCTGCCTCTCAGTCCAGCCCCGCTGTTGGAAGACTTTCCCTAGCCCACAATTCTGGTGACCTCCGATTTTTTTTTAAGTTGAATTTCCTTCTACAGTGACTTTTTAACCCCATCCACCCCGTAGTCCTCGGGGCAGAGAGATTGCTGGGGTAGATCACAGAACTTCTTGTCTTCCGGAGAAAAAAAAGTATGCAGTGCTTTTAACCTGGGAATGTGCAGTTTCTCCAACTGCTGAAACCCAGCCTGCTCTATGGAAAGGCAACCCTGGGCTTGGTCTCTGCTTTATTTTCCTGCCTCGTGCTCCGCATTTGGGAGCTTTTTGCAAACTTTTGCAAACCCCCTGCAAACAGGAGGTAAAGCTCATGCAGGTATGAGGGCGGTAAGTTAAACCTAGGAATTTGGAACTTTTCTGCTTGGAGAAGTATAAGCAGCCAATTTTGCAACTGCGGCATTTAAAGGAGAATGGAACTTTGGATGCAACGTAAGTAAGCATGGGAGCTCCAGAAAGTAAGCAACCAAAATAATTAGCCGAATAACTCTTGTATCCCATTACAGCCCATTGATATTACCATAGGGGAGAATTTGAGGGAGGGGGAAGGAATAGAGAATAAGAGAAAATGATGCATGGGTTTTCAGTTCTGGATTTGTTGGTTAAAAAAATTTTTTTTAACACTTTCCTGACTTAGAACTGGGGAGTCTAATTCTAACTGGAGACTCTAGGGAGATATGTAAAGGGGATGAGGGTGGAGAGGGAAAGGACCAAATTAGAAAATGGGGTAGAATAAATCAAGTCCCCTCTGGAGGTCACGGTTAAGTAAATGGAAGGGATTTCTGGGCTTAAAGGCCGAGGTGACCCACTGCAGGAACGGTCACTGGGTAAAAGAAGCCACTGAAACGTGGCGTTAGGGAGGGCACAGGAGGATCTCCAAATTCCACAATTACATTTCTGCACCTGAGCAAGCTGTGAAAAGAACGCCATGCCATTGTGTGGCATCTTTCTCTAATGCACACACAGGCATTGCAAACTCTCAAATAAACTCCGGACATCTTTCCATAAAACCGGCCGTTATAAAAATCATTTCTGCAGCCAGCATGGAAAGCATAGCATGGCTGTAAAGTTGGTTTTGGTTTGGTTTTTTTTTTCTGAAACTAAAACAGACAAGCTAGTGCATGCTGTCCATCACAAACATGTCATGTTTATTTCAAGAAACGCGCGCCTATTGCCATACACACATTCGCACTGCGTAAAGAGACACGCATCCACATGGATACTCTCCTTGGCCACACGAGCACGCTTTCTAAAAGAAAAAACAAGCCGCCCTACGCTGTTTTCCCTCACCCCGGCAGCAGAGACGTTGACAAGGATCGAGACGGCTCCCCTGCTGTCTGGAAAGGTCCTCCCGCCCGGGATGTTTCATTCCACGTGGAAGCAACACTCCACGTGTCTCAATCCCCTGCAGCTCCCGGGAGATCCGGCGGATTCTCCCTCTGAGGTAGGAAGGCCGGTTCTTGGGGCCGGGAGCAAAAGATGCATTTCCCAATGAGTGAAATTACTCACGAAAGAAGAGCATCGGATAGCAGCCTCGAGAAAAGAAAAGTGGGACTGGGCGAGCCTTCTATCTCTCTCTCTGTCTCTCTGCTGGAGACTCGGGGCTTTAGGAAGGCTTACCCATAGCTGAGGCTCAGTGTTGGAAAGAATTTTTTAAAGCCAACATTTACTTTCAACTTTGTAGAGGCTTTATTTTACACTACATCTCCTCGTCCCTGATGCGGATGGATCGCGATTGCAAGAGCCAGGGAGTTTAAAAAAAGAAAAAAAAAGAAAACTGGGAAAATGCAAAGCGAATTCCTTGGCATAGCCCAGAGATCAGAGATCAGTTGGGCAAACTTTGGTCCATACGCCTTCGTTTGCTAATCCGCCTGCGACCCATTGAAACTTAGAAACATTCCCGAAGTATTTTAGGGCTACTTTAAGCTTCCTTCATATACTGTAAGATCGGGACGAGGATATTTTTTTCTTTCAAGAAAAACTAAACTATGCACTGTTACCGCAGAAGACTTGAGGAGGAGGGACTGGGGGGGGGGGCATTCCATATATAAAAAGCTGTTTGCCAGCCCTAAGGGCTGGAGGAGACAACGGAAGATATTTAGTTTAAAAATAATAATAATAAATCCATTTTTGTTCGCCGATCAGTCTCTGCTCTCCAGCTGGGAGTGGGAGAAAATTAGAGAAACGATCTTTCCGTGGAAAATTCCACTTTCGTGCGATCCCTGCACAGTGCAGACACAGGCGCGCGCGGTTCCACAACACAGACACTCACACCCCTTCCTCTCAGGTCTTTGTTGCCAGAGACATTTCTTCAGTTTGCAACTAGCCCCCTGGTCTTGTTTCTTTTCAATAGGAAACAGGGAGGGCTAATTGTTGTGGATATATGTGAGCACAACATTTTTTCAGTCATAACTGATAAGTTTCTGAAATGCTTTTCTGCATTGCAAACATGTGCATCTTAATAGAAAACATTGCTTTTCTCAATCACAAGTTACAGCCCCAGAGCAGGATATCCAGAAGAAAAGCCTCGTTCTATCTTTGCTTTGAGAGAGATCTGCTTTTTTTTTCCTTTCCGTTCTTGGAATGGGGGATGGGAGGGGTTGGGGGTTGTTTAAAAAAAAAAAAAGTATGATATATCGAAGCCCCTGCCTTACCTTAAGAAATCGAGCCAGCCATCATGAATGATGGAAGGGTCCAGCTGTAGAGAGAGGAAGTTTTCATTGACTGTCCTGACAGGGCTCTTGGTGCTCACATCGAGAAGAATCAGGGTCTTTTCCTTCACACCTTGAGACTTGCCTACAGGAAAAGTTCTCCTGTCTCCAGCTTGGGAGGAAAGAGAGAGATGGAGCATCAGAGCAAGCCACAGCGCCATGGGGCTTAGGAGCGCAAGGGGGCAAGAGCTGGTATAGGGCATAGCGTGGAGAACAGGCACGGAACTCCCTAATTAAATCCCTCTGATTTGAGCCCCTTCTTTCTACAGGGTCTTGCTGGTGACTAATTGTCCTTATCTAAAGTGTGTGTCTGTCTGCCTCCCCCCCCTTTTTTTCTCTTCCTTTTTTTTTTTTTTTTTTTTTTCAGTGTTTTGGTGCTGGTGGAGCGAACTCACGCCCCTGGCCAGCCTTTTCGGCGACTAGTGCCAAGAGTCCTCGTTCACCAGCGCCGCCCCTTTAAGAGATTTAGACTGACTGCAGACATTTTGTAACTTTTTAAAGGTAAGGGAGGTGGGGGGAGGCGGGAAGTTGGGGAACTGAAGGGGGGGTGAGAGAATTGTAGTCTCCTGGTTTAACCCTCTAGAGTCTGGATCTGGGAAAGGGGAATGTAACGGTAGTGTTCTAATATTCCGGGGATGGGACAGGCTGCCCAGTTTTCCTTATTTCTGCGATCCGACAGGCAAGTTATGCCCGGCCAGAGTCCTTTTCACCTGATGTATATTTAACGGGTTGTTGTTTCCCCTTACATCAATAGGCATTTTGGAAACCACCGACAGTTCTCTAGCGGTGACCTTTTTTGGGTTGGGAGAAAAAAAGGAGAGTGGGGGTGGGGTTCTGCGGTGGGGAAGGTAACTAATACCACGCGTAAATTGCACAGTGAGCTTGTCTAAGTTCAGTCGTGTCTGCAACACACAGAACAGCAACCTAGATGTATCTTTTAACCTTTAGGGGGAAAAGGGCAGTTCCCAGAAGGAAAACAGACCGTGACCCGGTGAAAGAACCGTCTCTGCTCCCCAGCTGTTCCCCTGGGAGATGGAACGGAGCCCAAGCAGCTCTATGACCGCACTAGTAGAGACCCGGCTGCTCAGGAGTGGCCAAGGACCTCTGCCGCTGTGCCCAGGGCCGAGACTGAAAACCATTTTTTTTTTTTTTTGCTCGTGGGTGGGATTTCCCCAGAGCAAAGGGCAAACAAATCTTTAGCGGGTAACAATGAGGATTAGGAGTACAAGTCGTCTGCGTCGTTTGTCTTGGCTGCAGCTCTACCTACCTACCCGAGGTCCACCCTCTCTAGCCCGTCTCCCAGTGGAAGAAAGAGAAGGATGCAGGCCTTTGTTTCTTCTATCCAAAGGAAGGGAAGAGAGTTAGCATTTTCATTACCATCCAACTAACCCCAGTAAAGAAGCAAAGCAACTGAGAGAGATGCCCTAGCCGGAATACTTTGGCTCTCACCCTAGCCGTGCAGAAAGGAAGCAGGATCTTCCATCTACATCTCCAGAAAGTTGCTGGCAAAGTGAAGGAGCTACCTAATAAAGAGTCCTCTCAGCCCAGCTTCCCAGGACAACCAAGGAAGAGGTGAAGAAGCCAGTACTGCACAAGCACAGAGCCTGCCAACCCAGTGATTCTGGAGACTGAAGAATTAATTCATAATCCAAACCCCACCACCACTGTGGCAGAGAAAGGGGCCTGCATGGCAAGTGGAAATGCCTAGGCAAGGGGCAGCCTTGGCTCTGTCTGGAGGAAGTTTGGCGAGCTCCAAAGAGGACACGGATCCCCTTCCATGCCAAGCGGTCCACCACATCTAAAATTAAGGTGGTAGAACTTATTTCTTGTTCTGGGCCCATCTCTTCACCCCCTCACTTACCATTAATGCTGTGGAGTTTTTCCAATATTCCAGTCTTTTAAGAGGAGATTATTTTAACTATAATTTGCAACATAAGTGACTGCTTCATAGAGCAAAGTACATGATGAAATTAACCAAGCAGTTCATTAAAAAAACAAAACTTGCTGTTAATAATTCACATTTCTATAGCATACACTTAGCAAGTTACTAAGGGCTTTCCTTACCAAAAAAAACCTTGGAGTTGAATAGTCTTATGCTCTTTAGCCTATTAAAGCTAAAAAGACCAAGGCTCCCAGTGGCTGAATAAAGGGGGGGGGAGGAATAAGCAATTATATGGTGCCTACTACATGCCAGGCATTGTGCTAAGTGCTTTACAGATATTTCATTTGATCCTCCATTGGATGATTTACCTATATAGCTAATAAGTACAAAGAAGGGACCTGACCTGTCTTCCTGATAACATGTTTAGTATCCTTCCTAGTATGCCATACCACCCCTATCCTTGGTCAGAAGGATACAGCATAGACAGAGGTGTATGTGTATTTACTAAAGTAGTTTTTGCTTTGTATTATTTCTATATGGTGACTTATGAATGATTTTATGAAGGTTTATAAAACAATGTATGAATGTGCAAATGACTGCAAATTCAAGCAGTGGTTTCCTCATTTGCGGTATTCAGGGCCAGAGCCGAGCAGCACATGAATAATGTACTAGAGTTTTCAAATGTCTGAGAACACTACTATTGCAGATTTTTCTCTTTTAGCAACTATACCAAGGTTTGCTGTGTGATACACTGGAGAACTGAAGAGTTAATAGTTTGGGTTTTTTATAATGGCTATGCTTGTAACTAAGGGAAAAGTTAGGCTTTTGGAGTATCTGGCTCACTATGCATTGTACTGCCTATAATTTTTATTTTTATTCTGATGTGTATGTGAAGGCTGGTGTCTTAGTTACTTTAGCTAGCCAGAGATATTTTCAGCAGAACCCCTGGGAAGCGCAGAAAGTCAGCACTGATATAATAAAGTACTTGCTTTTTAATTGCTGATGATATATATCCCCTCTAGCCTTCATAATTCTGTAGTTATGTCTCAGGACATCAGGACTCAGAAACTATCTCAATAACATTTATAAATAGTACCAGAAAGCCCAAGTCTAATCAGAGAAGAATCTGACTGCTTTCCTGCTGCCTTAGCTGGTCTAAGCATCCATAGTACTTTGCCCACTCCCTAGCTCAAAGACCCGTTTACCCTAGTCTCCTATCAAAAAGGAGAGAGAGAGAGAGAGAGAGAGAGAGAGAGAGAGAGAGAGAGAGAACGAGAGAAATCTATTTTAGGGTAGCCATCTAAGGCTGATTCATTGTGTTTTTTATTCTGTGGTCTGTGGACCCATTAGTGTAGGGGTTATGAATCAGCATTGTGGCTTATTTATAAGCTCCTTGGGGACAGGGTCTGTGTCTTTGTAGTTCCTTTTGTATATATAACATCAAACTAATTAGTAAGAAAGACTGCAAGTATATTAATGACTAATAAGCATGCCTCTATTGCTATACAGCCTTGAAGGATTAAAGCAAATATATGAGTAAATCAAATGGTGGGCTTAGCTTGGGTGACCTACAAGTGAATGGTGTCAGACCCCAGAGTCCCGTGACCTTCCTGCAGGTGGGGATTGTAACCTTATCCAACCTGTTAAGTATTGTATACAAAGAGGTAAATAATGTTGGAGTCTCCTGGGAAAAAAAAAAATGCTCTCCATTTCGTGGAAAGCCTCAGGTCTGAAACAGCCTTGTCATGGGTTCCCTTTTGGTACTTAAATGTAAAATGAACCCACTAGCTATCACTAATTCTGTTCTAAGGTAAATAGCATTAGAGTGAAATATGTTGTTCTCACTGATGGTGGTGAAGGCCAAAGTAATTGTCTGATTTTTTTTCCGCCCATTCGGCCCCATCACAAACTCATAAACTCATCTGCCCCATTTATCTGCTTCCTTCTACCTCAACACCCTTATTCCTAGCTCTGGGTCTCTCTCACCAGCTTCAAAGCTCAGAACAACATTCAGCTCAGCTCCAAATGCCTTTTTAAGTAAACACCTGGGGCTTTTGTACGCGAAATAAAGGAAGGAGTCTGCACCTATATGCTGACTCTTCAGTAAGAGTGGATATTATGAGCAAATGATTCTTGAAAAAGAATAGAACTTAAGCCAATATCTATAATGTGCTCTCTGCAATGTGCTCCCTCCCTCCCTCTCAAATTCCACAGCCCCCATTGGGTTGCTCCACTCATCCCCTCAGGGTCAAGTACTCCCTGCTTTCCAAGATTGGTGACAATTAGTTAATCTGATAAACTCATTTTACTAATGTGCTAATGACTAGGAAAAGGCTATAGGAGCTTCTCAGGGACTTTCCTCCAGTTCTTAAGCCACCTGTGCATTGCAACAAGGACCTTTTGGGAAGACTAAATTATTATTTGATCTTTCTGCTGTGTTCTATTATATACTATTACCTGGCTTCTATGCAAGCTCAAAGTGACTGCAGCTGCCAACGCTGGGCAGCTGAATGACTGAGACAGTGCTGAACATGCCACTGTAGACCTGCCATAAATGACTTACTTGGGTTCATTCCAGACGCTCTTTGGGGAAATGTGGAGAAAGGAAGGACCTCCAGGCAGGTGATCAAGAGAGACTTTGGGTGGTGAACTAGATGGGTCGAGACCCAACATGGGTTGAGACCTGACAGTTTAAGAAGCACTGAAGGGGTCAAGAGTGGAAAAAGTTTAAGAAGCCCTGAACTAGAGAGCCCTTCAGATGTGGGAGCCATCTACGCGTCCTGTTGCTTGCAATTCTAGAGACTGCTGAAAGAGGACCTCCTCTTTGTGAAATGATTCTCACTTTCCTTGTTTGAGCTGAGATCCTATTTGGCTCCCAGCTGAAGAGCTCATTCACTCTTGTGTATTTTTTGGCATATTCTCATCTGTATAATTTCTCCAGTTTATCTTTGCTGTTTTGCTTGGATAAATACATTTACTCTCTCACCACTCGTGATGGTCTTTTGTATAACAATGTATGGTGGGGAGGAACTATTTGGTAAGTAATAAAAATAGCTAACACTTATATAGTGTTTATAATGTGTCAGACCCTATGCTAAGTACTTTACAATTATTATCTCATTTGATCCTCATAACAACCCTGGTAGGTGGATGCTTTGTTATCCCATTTTACAGATAAGGAAAGTGAGACAAACAGAGGTTAAATGGGTTGCCCAAGGTCACACTACTAGTAAGTGTCTGAGGCTGGATTTGAACTCAAGTCTCCCTGACTTCAAGCCCAGCACTTTATCCACTGCACCACCTAGCTGTAAGATAACCAGCTATCCTCCCTCAAAAGAGTAATGAGGGAAACAGCTTTTGTTCTGAATCTATCATACCCCTAGAGACCAGACTGAGCAGCTTGCTGGCGCAGGGGAAAGAGTGCCAGATCTAGAATCAGGAAGAGTCATCTTCAAATCTGGCCTCACACACTTATTAGCTGTATAACCCTGGGAAGTCATTTAACCCTGTTTGCCTCAGTTTCCCCATCTGTAAAATGAGCTGGAGAAGGAAATGGCAAACCACTCCAGGACCCCTGCCAAGGCAAACCCAGATGGCGTACTGAGCTACTGAGAATAGTAGCACAGAGTCCTACATGACTGAAAAAAGACTGAATGAATAAACAACTAGACCAATAACATTGCCCTTCTTGGAGATGGAAGAGATTGCCCAGTTGTCCCAGACCTTACCTACCTGTCTCCTCCAGGTGGCATGCTGGTGGCACAGGTTCTACTCTCTGTAATCAGACCTCAGATCATATCTATCCATGCCACCTGCCCTCTGGCAGAATTTAGGCAGTCTAGCACACGTACTCATCTTACCTTTGCACAAAGTAAATAAAATAATAACGATGAGGTTAATGTAAAACCTGTGTCAAATTGTGTGTGTGTGTGTGTGTATAGAGAAGCTCTTACAGAAGGCTCTTGTCCCTTAAAAAGTTGGTAACCACTGACATAGCCCTTTGGCCTCCTGACAGATGCCTGAATGGAGGGAAATGAAAGCAACATGTCTCCACTGTTTCAGACCAGCAAGACCAGAAAAATAAGTATTTGCCCACAGATACCTTGGTCCATGTTGAAGGTGACAAGCTTCTGTTTACTTAGTGTGACAACTTCACCCATATCATTTCTCCTTCCTGGGCCTCGGTTTCCTAATTTGTAAAATGAAGGGGCTGGACTAAATGATCAGTGAGGTCTCTCCAGCTCTGTCAGACCTTTAAGGGTCATATAATAATAGGAGTGGTGAAAGCATCCTTGCATTCTTCTTCCTCTCTCTTCTTCCCTCCTCTCTCTTCCATCAATAGTAGCCCCGTAAGTAGGGGTAAGTGATGAGATAGTGTGTAAATCGTAGAGAGCATTGAAACTGTGTTATTATTGTCTGTGCCAAAGGACAAAGGCCACCAAGTCCCTACAAAATTACTTATAACAGATGTTCGATTTCACTTTAAAACACTCAACATGAGGATAATAAGTCTGACCAGTCACATAGATGTGTTTTACATTTCATATGGGGTAGAGAAGCAGTGGGCACGGGAGACAGAGCATAGCCTTGAAGCCTTGCCCACAACCATTGGACTCCTAGGATGCCCCAGAGAAGTTCTAGCCCTGGGTTCAAGTCCTGCCTTTGGCACATATTGGCTATATGACCCTGGGCCATTCACTTGACTTCTTCATGCTCTGGGAGGCTCTAAGACTATACATAAGAAGGAAAGTATGAGCTAGTAATATTTGCTCACCTCTGAGTTCACTATATCAGTGAAATCACAGGTCTAGTTCCTAATCCTGTGATGGGGTGGCACTACCTGGAAGCAGACCGGATATTGCCCCTTGTGCCTACCACAGATCCATGCCCTTAATAGGCCCTTTAATGGTTGTTCGTGGTCAAATGACTAAATGTTGAAAGAATGGATCTGAATGGTTTTCCCATTCCTTGTGCGATTTAGCAACAGAAGTGAGCGGAAGACATTCATTTTAGGGTCCTGATCACAGCACTACTAAAGCTTCTCACCTACTAAAACAATGACAACATCATGCCTGCATGAAAAAAAGCCCAATGAAGGGACCACAAAGTTTTCTATCTAGTGATTCTTAAATTCTTAATATTTACCATTTAATAAAGGTTAACACTTTAAAGTTTGCAAAGAGCTTTATAAATTTTAACTCATTTGATCCTCACAACAACCCTGGGAGGCAGGTGATATTATTATCCCCATTTTACAGATGAGGAAACTGAGGCTGAGTGACTTATCCAGGGTATCCAGCAAATAAGTAGGCCTGAGGCTAGATCTG